AAGTGCCCAATTATTCCTTACTAGTGTTTCAAGACTTTTTACAGTTCTACAGGCTTTTCTGCAGTTAGGAAAGTCGTCTTTCAATGTTGCATCTATAAAAATCTTTCTTCATATCATAAATATGTTCTGAAGCTAAGTCCACATCAGTGATTTTAAATATAGGTAAGTGCTATTCGCCTTTTATAACAGCTTTTTCAGTCTTTTCTTCAAAACCACGGAGTTAAACATGTCTCCTATATCCAGAATTCATTCTATCTTAATTGGATTAGTATATATTTGTAAGCAAATTGTAATATTCAAATATTCCAATGACTGCAGACAAAAAATATTAGGACGAAAATTAACGTTTAGTAATACAATGCCAGTTAAGATATCCACCGATATCTAATAGCCTTTTGAGCCTACTGACTTATGGCTCCGGCATATTGACGTTGCGAGACTTCACATGGATCTGGGTTACGCTGAAATCCGCCGTATTTTTGCCGCCAAATAATACAATCCTGTTATTTTTCTATGAACTTGCTTTGCACGTTACCTTGATTTACTACTAGAACCACTAGAACTATTAGAACTATAACAAACAAAATACATTTTACTTACGTTAATATAAGTCTACCTATAAGTACGTCTGCAGATAATAAATCAATACAGTACCTTTAATAAAAAACAGTACGGAGATGTCGATTTATAAGTGATGCTTTTTATAAAACGTGCAGCACCGCAATGGCTTTAAATCCACCATATAGTAAAAAAATAACAGAAAATCGTATTTAAATTCACCAAGCATAAAGTTGAATGAATTATTTGGAAGGGCCTCTATTAAAAAACAAGTCTATGATATAAGCTATATATGTGCAGAGCTGCGTTATGGTTTATATATTTAAATAATTGACAACACATCAATTATATTAGCTATTAATTTTAGACATTTTTTTATCTTATCTTATATCTTATTATTGAAAAATAACAGGATATTTTTCTTCTATACTGAATTCTGGTTATAGGTAATAACTAAAGTTTGCTTAAAGAACACAAAATATCCCATATGAAAGAAGCCATACAATGAGAAAGATAAATGGTAAAATCTCTGAGTTTAAGAACGAAGCCTTGGTGTCATCCTAAAGTCATGCTTGCACCAATGATACACTGTCAACTAAACTACAAAAGCATTTGGTATGGAGAATCCAAATGACTTATTGGTCTTTCTCACAACAAAAGTTAAATCAATAATTTTATGCAGTGGAACAAGGTTAAACAAAGGTCCGCGGAAGTGAAATTCTGTACTATACACATTAAAGTTTGTGGTAGAGATTACGAAAAGCAGGCCTACAGGTATATTAAGTCTGGTGTCATCATAAAAAGCTACATATCTTGAGAAAATGACCTGACAAAAGAATGTGCCTCAAGCTCACGATATCCCGTGAAATCATTCTTACAGTGGGTTTGCTGAAAGATCACTGTCGGCAAGGCAACCATACTAACAGATTGACGTTGCCTATCAAAAATACTTACCAGCTATGAGAAAGACTGTCCAGCACACGCCCAACGAAGATCAAATTTTTCTGTCAGATGTACGAAGGTTCAAATGGCTTAAAATGTTCAGTTTTTATATGCTAACGCAATAAGGTAGTAGGCTTAATACCCGATCATATCCCATGAAAATTAAATAAACACAAGCTAACTCATATAGGGAATATAAGGTGTTTCGAACACTTCAAAAAATTGTTCCCATATGTGTTTTGTGATGTAGTAATCAGCATGCAAAATAGCATAATTATTAATTAATTGCATAAATTAGAACAAGAGCGAAAAACATGTTCATGTTTTTTGTTATTTTTGGATTAATCAATTTTTGAAATACCTAAGTATTTGGTACCTATATGTACATTTGACATATTTCAATAAAATATGAATATGGAAAAATCATTAAAATTTGAACTTAGATAACTAAAATATTATATATCATTGTATTAAATTATATTGTAAGTACA